CGTTTCACCTCTGCCTTTTTAAGCTTTCCAGGATCTTCCAGAACTCTCTGTTTCTCTCTGTCTCTTGTAGTATAAAATATTTAAATAATAGTTCAGCATTTTGGGAAGTACAGTTAAGTTGTTTCCAGAGCGTGAATAGAAGAGACTGATATCAAATGTGCAACAAGCAAGAACAAAACTGCAATAAAAGGTCAAACAACTGAACTTTGACACAAGGTCAGGTAATAACAAGATCAAGTAATAAAGCCATCACAAGGCATTTAAGCTGATGTTGTGCTTTAATGGTGCATCTCTGCAAAGAAAGTATTTAAATTAAATTAGCTTTAACATTTTTAACAGTTTTGGCAAAAATATAGAAATAATTAAATTTGTCTCCAAACAATAGAATGTGTTTGAGGTCGTTTTGAATTAAACCTTTACAGCATCTACACTGTACATTTTAATCTTTCACTTCTTTATGTTTTATTATTTTCTTAGCCAGCATTGCTAGAGGGATGGCCATTCCACCAAGTATTGGATGAGTTGCAAATGTGTGCAGACATTCATGGGTTTGGGGGGTTTTAGTGAAATATCTTGACAACTATAGGACATATCCTAATGACTTTCGCTAAACATCAGCATGTTAACATTATCATGGTAAGTGTGTCAGCATTCTGACATTAGTATTTTACCAAAGCACCGCCACCAGGCTAACATGGATGTAGCCTATGTTAGCTCTTAGTTTTGTTTACTTTTCTTGCGCTTTTTAATTTCTTCCACCCTATTCTGTCATTTAGACTGTTTTTGTTGTATGATGTAAGCCACTGTGAATTGACCATAGCACGATGAGTTTTACAAGGGTGACGCAAATCAAATTATGTTTACTGGTAAAAATAAAAAGGAAAGAAAGTTACAAAGAAGAAATCAAATGAAGACATAAAACCCAGTTAAATCTCAAAAATCATATTGAGGGCTGATTATAGTTTTATTTTTGCATAATCTGCATAAACCTTTTCGGTGCTTACAAGAAGAAGTTATACCTAAACAGTAAAGTACAATTTATAGGTAGTGTAATTTTACCTTAAAAATCTACCTTGCTAATCCTTATAAGGTCTGTTGAAGTGTATGCTATCGAGGACTGATGCTGACAATTTAAGAAATAAATGCAGAAATAAAGAAATGCTCAATAAATAAATTAGCATCCGATTAAATGCACAAAAAATAAAGTAGATAAATAAATGTAAGCAATAATTAATTTAATTAGCTTCATTATTCATATTTGTAATAATTACCTTATTTATTTATTGTCCATTATAATCTTCAACTTTATTTATTAATTACTTATTTTTTAAATGTATTTATTTATGTGTGTGTTTTAATATTTTTGTCTGTTTTATTCTTCCTTTGGATTTTCTACGCTGTTTTCCCCCATGGTATTTATTTATGCCTGTCCTTTTTACGTTTCTCAATGCATTTCTGCCTCATTATGCAAATGAGGAGGGGCTGTGTCTCAAGAGGTGAACTTGTCCCTTATTGGTGGACCGCTCCGGTTTTTATTTATCTATTTTGTATCTAACTGTGTTGTTTTTCTATCTTATTGCTGTATGTCATTAATTGTTTGGCCTGTTTTAATTTATATGGTCTTCTACTGTATAACTTGTCCAGCACTTTGGTCAACTCTGGTTGTTTTTAAAATGTGCTTCATAAATAAACTCGACATGACCAGTCAGTCGGCAGAGCTTGAATCTACGTGCACACGCATAAACAAGCTTGCTCCTCACAGTCAGATGGCTTCCTTCAGTGAACTGATGTGTTTAGCAACTCTCTGTGAAGACAATACCACCAGCCATGTCTTCCTTCTTTTGCGGGGATGCTCTGACCTACAGAGTTTTCATTTAGCTGCTGACACGGACACAGGACTGCGGGGAAGTGAGCTGTTGTTTGTGAGAACCACATGGTCAGCTAGCTGCAGCTAAATCTGGAGTGCACTTGTATTTGAGTCTTTATGGTAAATGCTCCACATGGAGTAGCTCCTTGCTCTGCTGTTATCAGCTGCTGTTTCAGCAAAGATGAAATTTCAACCAAGGTGTTGTGTAAGGAGATGCAGTGACTTAACCAGCGGTGAGTAAGAAATACTATGAATAATACATGTAATTTTTTTAGCTAAGAGGAGAGGAAAAGTCTGCTAGCCGCTAGGCTAATTGTAGTAGTGTAGTATTAAATGCCATATAGGCTAAAACTCAAGCTAGTAATGGTGACTGACAAATAAATTATTCTTGACAGTTATTATTAAGAAGAATTTTATGCTTAATGTGATTGCTATAAAGCCATGTTCATGTGTGGTAATGGAGTCAATTTAAAGTTATCTTTACCAATCGAAATGATTTAATGTAGGCTAGTTACTATTCTTTTATGTCTTCTACAGAAGACAGAGGAGGAGGCATGCGGATATAACTATATTTGTCAGAGGACAAGAAGAAAAAAAAGAAGAAGAAGGAGGAGGAGAGCAACAAAGAAAATAAATTCCTTTTATATTCCCCCTTACATGCCTTGTTGTTTATGTGTAGGTACAAAGGAAGAATGGGAGAACAGCATCGTTACTGTGTAATTATAGAGCATGGGAGAACAGTGGGTACTTTTAATACAGCCCACACCCCTAATACTACTGTGTAACTACAGGATAACAAGTGGAGAACATTCAAGATTTTTTACAACTGTCTGTATAGCTTATTCATCTTGTGTAATGTGTAAAGAATGAAAATAAATAGGCCTACTAGGCTCCTCTCTACTTTAACATTGAAGATTAACTGTGTTTGATACACCTTCATACACATGTAACATTACTGTTTAACTTGAGAAAGGTAAGTTGTTGTCTGCTCCAGCCTGCCTTAATGACAAGCATTTTTGGGATTAAATGTGCTTTATTAGCAGCTGCAGGATGAACTAAGAACAGACCCATTTCTCAACTTATTATTCTAAATCATGCAATGAAGTAGAAGAAATGCATAATAAATCCTGCGACAAAATCATTTGTATTTATTGAAATTAGTATATTATTTTGGAAGCACAACTGAGAAAAAAACACTAATGAATTAATAGCTGCCAGATGATGTCATTGTTTTTCAACTGTTCAGTTCTGTTTACCAGCATTGTAACCAGAATTTTAAGTTTAATACTTGCATATTGCAAACCAAAATTAGATAACATAATCAAACAGTTGTATTTGTTGTATAAATAGTTTTATTAATTGTACATGTTCAGCTCCAGTGCCACTGCTCCTTATTCTGGATTAGCTGTGTCTAAACAAAATGTGATAGCTGAATAAGATGATTGTGAGTCAGTTTAGTTTTCATTAATGTTAAAGTAGTTGCCTTTACATCTAAAGGTGTCTTTAAGCGTGAACTGATGAATGGCAACCCATTTGTTGATGTCAATGAACTCCAGGATGTCTGTCCACAAGTACTGTACAGTATGTAGCCTAATTAACAATCCTTGTTATTGCTGAGTTGGGCAGTGAAATGTTAAATTTTTTTATTCATGTGGTCATAGCTGTCTACAACTCAAATCAGAATTTAAGGAGAAATGTGTTTTTATAGCACTTCAAGAAGACTTCCTATCAGAAAAGAAAATGTGTCAATGTACAACTGCAGTACTTAAATCTGAGTAAAGTAATTTCCTTTTTCAACATTTTAGTGTTATTTTACTTTTAATAGACACATGTAACAGGTTTTATACTTTGTGTGAATATAATCCAATTAATCTTATTTTCATACTGTATATACGTTGTGTTAGCAACTTATTTTGAAAACCTGACGTTGTGACCTGTGTCTTTGTGCTAATTTCACAAAGTCCAACATAATTTAAGAATTTTTGTTGTATGCAGTGCTGGCATCATGTGCTATTGAGACTTCATTGCCTCTCTTCAGATAAGACTCTCAGACTGCAACACTTGTCTTTGTAAAGAAAGAAAATGACAGAATAAAAGTCTCTAAATTTGCCTGTCAGCTCGCTCTGCTCCGTTAAAACTGCATTTACCATACAGAGTCGAATACATGTGCACTCCAGATTTAGCTGCAACTAGCTGACCGTGTGCTTCTCACAATCAACGCATCCCTTTACCGCAGTTCTGTGTCCGTGCATGCCACACACTGTCTGTCAGAGCGTCCACACGAAAAGGAAGGAAGACATGGCTGGTAGAACTGTCCTCAGATAGAGTTGCTAATCATTTCAGTTCACTGATGAAAGCCATCTCTTGTGACTGTGTGGGGAGCAAGGCTTGTTGATGTGTGAGGTTAGAGTCAACTTCTATCGTCTGACTGATCCACCAATAGGCGATAAGTTCACCCTTTGAGATACAGCCCCTCCTCATTTGCATAATGAGGCAGAAATGCATAGAGAAATGTAAAAAGAGCAGATAGAAATATATAACCATTGTGGAAATAAACAGGGTAGAAATGCAAAGGAAGAATAAAAAAAAACAAAAATATTAAAAACACACATAAATAAATACATTTTAAAAAAAGTAATTAATAAATAAAGTTGAAGATTATAACGGACAAATAAATAAGGTACTTATTACAACAGTGAGTAAATAAAGAAGCTAATTAAAAGAGATATATACAGTTATGTCTCATTGTATAATTTAATTACTTTATTTTTTGTGCATTTAATCGGATGCTTATTTATTTATTAAGCATTTATTTATTTCTGTATTTATTTCCTTTTAAGTCAGAATTGGTCCTCTATAGTATGCTACTAAAAACTATTTGGTTAATGTTATAGAAATGAAACAAAGTCCTTTTATGTGCCCAAACATCCACTTTGAACTTTAATTGTCCTATGAGAACATCATGCTAACTCATGCTGTGCTGCTGAATGTCATTTTAAGCTGTTTCTACATGTTTTTTCAGAAGAAGTCTTGACCTTACAAATATGTCTCTGTAATCACGATTTGTGATTGTGATTGATCAATGCAAAGGTTTATTTGCACAGTTTTTAATAATCTGTCCTCTGTCTTTCAGGTAGTGTGGACTGTGGAGGAAGAGACAGACAGACAGAAAGGCAGAGACAGAGAAAATGCCATGGACAGACAGAGAACTGGATAACAGCACAGGAAGGCCAACAAACAGCAGGGCACACACGCACACCCACCCACACACAACTGTAATAACACACAGCAGACAAACTTGACACTGTCAGAGCCACAGGAAGACACTAAAACAGCAGGGTACTGCCAGAACATATCATAAACTGATGAGTTACACACCGTAACACACACAAAGAAGAAAAAACACACAGTGATGGAGACAGACCCGGCGCTGTGTCAGAGCCACAGGGAGATTGTAAAACAGCAGGCTGCTGTCAAAACGCATCTTAAACTGATACACACAGACACAGAGAAGAGCTCTGCAGTTGGCGACAGCCATGTTTGGGAAAACCAGAGCTTTGCTTTACAGGACTTTAAATCCCAAGACTAAACGGGCAATATACTGAGGCAGAGCTTGTTGTTGATTGGAAATCGTAGTCTTAGTGTTTATTCTTTTGAGATTAAAATTTAAATTAAAAATAAATCCCAAAGGAAAACTGATAATGCACTGTAGGGCTGGACAGAATATTTGTACTATGTTGATATGTAAACTGTATGTACCATATTTACAGTGATCAAATAAAAAATCTAATATATATTTAATAGGGAACACTCATTTTTGGATATATCATTTCAGAATTATTTCAGAATAAATTTAATAAATTTCCTGGAAAGAATAATGTAATGTTTATTAATGAACTACTAAGATTGTTTTACTGATACACTTTTAATTAATTAATTAATTACAACAGCACAACCAGTCAATGCACAGAAGCTCAGCTCATAAATTTGTCTACAAGTAATCACAAAAGTCATCACAATGTATATGCAATGTTTCCACTTATAAATACTGTAGATATACACACTAAAAACTCCTGGGTTAAAAAGAATTACATCTGTCACAGTGTGGTGCAGGCAGGAGAAGAAGAGGAGGAGTCCAAAGTTCCAATTCAAACGTTTTACTAATAAAGTAACTCCAAAAGGTACAGACAGGATGTACGCACACTAAACAAGACTACGAAGTAGAACGGCCAAAGACTGACTGAACTGAAGGAACTAAATAGGCTACTAACACAGATGAACATTGTTTAACAGAAAACAGGTGGAACAGATGATAATGATGGTAATTAACTAAACACAGGTGATGCAGATGAACTAAATGACAGAAACCATGGAAAGTGAGAGTGGCTGGAAAACAGAACAAAGGAAGACGTGACTAGGGGTGACAATATTACACACTTCAAGCACTTTTACATTTTTATTGCATTAACATTCAATAACTGGATTGAACTTAAGGCTTAAAGTCTTCAAACATTGGTTGTGTCATGTCATGTGTGACTTTACACGGACTTTAAACTAGTTAGATGTACATGGCAACCGCAGAATTACCACGGCTAATGCTAGTCTCAACTTAGCAACTAGCAACGGGGACATGGACACAGAAAGAAAGTATACATTAAAGTATACATTACATCAACACTGAAAATACTCGCTTACCTTGAATACACGACAAATTTGCACTGAAGAAGCACAGGCCAAAATGGATCGAGATTGAAGTGGAGGTTATTTTAAACGACTGTTGTGAAAAAATTCTGTGGGGTGGTTGCTATACATTCATGCCAATAAAGTTCATTTGAGTTTGAAAGAGAGAAAGCCAACAGAAACCCAAACAACCCAGGAATTGGGTTAGCCCTATAAACCACAAAATGGTTACTCTCTGAAAAACTTACCCATAATTTTAACCCAAAACAACTAGCCCAGAAAATGGGTTGAAGCAATAACCCAAGAGTTTTTAGTGTGTATACTTAGGTTTAAATTGAGCTGTTCTGTCAAGACAGAAATGTGTTAAAGACCTTAAAGGCCTAAAAACTTTACTTTTAACTTTCACATATTTGGCTCTCCTGCTCTAACTGCCGTGAAATGTAAGAACAATGGTAATAATCAACAGGTAATTGCAACAGATGCTATATTTACACTCCAATTGTGCACAAGTATGATGATGATTCCAGGTAAACACAAATAAATGAAAAGGCAGGGGTTCTTGTAGATAAACCTGAATCAGATTGCTATTGGCAGGTGGTATCAGGCTTTACAGAAAGACTAACAGTAAATTGAAGTTTCCCAGGAAATTATTTAGAAAATATTCAGAAATTAAGGACTCAAAAATGAAGTGTTTTTACATGTGTAAATCATAAACGTCAACAAACAAAACCATTCCAATGAATGTTGATACATCGATGACAATATTGAATTGTGGCTGAGCTCTAATGCAATGCATTTAACAACAGGATAATGTGAAAAGGGGTCCAAACAGAAGTCTTTCAAACTGAGTTGGAAATGTTAATAAAACCTGTTTTTGAAAAGTGTAACATCATCACATATAAATGACTGTACATCCCTTATAAAGTAATAATCATGTATTTAAACAGCAATGTGACTCAGTCCTATAATGGATAGTTTCTCAATCTTGGGGTCACCTAAATATTGCGTCAGGGGAGAGAAACAAAGTGGTAATATATATTTTATGATTCATTACAAACATCTACCAAACTTTTAAAAGGGTTCAAATCAACAATAAAAAAGATCAAACTTGCAAAATGAGGCTTGAATACAATAATAACAAAACCCCTGATGTTTTACATAACAACTTCACTATGTTGAGTCCCATGCAGTGACCTCTAAACCTTTCTGAAAATGTGTCTTTGGTTAAAGATAACAATTAATTGCTACCACAAGAACCTCACGAAAAACCAACATCTGTCAGTAATTATAATTTTGTCAGTCGTTACGTACTTATTTTAAGTTATACTATTATTATTGTCCTCGTAGATATGAAAGGTTGTGTGTTAATTTACTTATTACAAGAGACATTTTTCTACATTGGCTACATTCATATTCACAGTAAAGATCATACTAGTGGTAGTCCATTAACTACAAACCACACATTACTGCTACACTCCAGACATTTCCATCATTCCAGGAAGCCGCTGGTTTTAGTTCATTTCAGCTATATAAAAGTCACTTTTCAGTAGACTTGCAAATGGCTTTACGAGTAATTGAGTATTGGGTTTTTTTTGTTTTTGTTTGGGCGTACACTGCTATGATAATGTTAATTTGGCCTTTGTTTGTGTAAGAAAGTTTGCTCTTCAGCAACTAACAGCCTCTTTCAGTCCCTGAAAATATCTAAGCTAATCTGCTTCATCAGGACTGTGTGGGTGTGCTGTGGTCATATAATTGACAGTTGCTTGGCAACATAAGCAAGCAATCCTGCAAAATGACATAATATGCATGACATCAACTTTTTCAAGTCCCACCCACTTAAAACCAGTGAGATCAGGACAGATAAACAAAAAGTACTGAAAGTCTCTCATATGAAATAACAAAAACTGTTGGCCAGGACTGTTGTCTTCATGTTTGAGACTGTTGCTCACAGGAAGAAGCTGATTAAGAAAATAGGTTTTCATGGCCTTAAAGTTAACAACCCAGAATATGTCAAATACATAACTTTAACTATTGGGTGAAACTGTGTTATTATTAAAGTGTATTATTAGTATTAGTAGGCATTAATGGTTATTTTGTAAGTTTGAAAGTCCTCAGTATATTGCCACTTCCTCTATTTAAAAGTTTCACATAAAGGAAAAGATGGAAGAAGCTTGGCTACTGTTGATAATGTGAATTTGTCCCTGAAAATACCTTTTTCTCTCATTGCAATTCCTTGTCCCCTTCTGAACCTTTCTTTCTTCCTTCTGTCTTGACTCCCTCTCCCCAGGATTCTTCTTCACTCCTTCCTTTTCTCTTCTCCAAACGCATTTACCCGCCACGTTCCCTTTCTGACACCTTCATCAACATCTTTTCATCCTTTTTATCCTTATTTACTTTACCGTCCTCTTCATCTCTCTCCTTCCTTCGTCATTATTCTTTCCCTTTCTCTTCTCTTCTTCCACATATCTCTTATTCCTTTGTCCACTTTTCCTATACCCTTTCATCTCAACTTCTTCCATTCCATTTCATCTTTCACAAATATTTAATTTGTCATTTTATTGTTTCTTTCATCCCTTTCTTTTCTCTGTTGTCTTCCTTTTTTCTTTACTCTTATTAGTTAACTCCCTCCTTGTTTTTCCTCTTCCTGAACGTCTCCTCTCCTGTTGAAGATAAAGAAGTATCTTCTGATGACGGTTGAAGTGCTCAACTTCTAGCTAAGTCAAACTAACTTTCTAGCAATTTTATCAAAAAGAAGAAAGTAAACAAGCAGATTTCCCAATTAAGATTATTACTCCAAACTTAACAGAAGGAGTTAGTAGGAGCCAGTGAGGCAGTTCTGATTTGGGAGTGAAAACAAGTTACAACTCAAAATGGGATCTGATTGTAAAATCTGTAACAGTCGCCCACTTCTTTGTTTTGCCACTTCTTGGTTCAATTTAGGATTGACTAACAATATTGACTGCAAGTTTTTTTAATATGTTATGAAGTTCATCATTACATAGGATATATTGTACATTGTACCTCCTTGTATATACTTGTTATAACCCCATGAATAATCAGCTATTACAGCAGGTTAATGAGAAAGTGAGCTACATCCTACAATAAAAAGTAAGAACTATGGTATTTTTAATATATTGACAGATTTGGTTCATAATTTTTCTTCTTTGACTTTACTTTTCACTCCCAAATAAGAAGCTCAGGTATGTTAGAGGAATCTACCTTTTTCAAACCAGTGTGAGCTCTTGTTTACCTTTAGATGAAAATGTAGGCTCTCTCTCTCTCCTCTTTTCTTAGTTCTCTTCCTCCAGTCCTCCTGTTTCTCCTCCCTTCTCCCTCTTCTTCTCATTGTCACTGTATTCCCCCTCATGTTCCTGTTGGATTTCTACATGCTGATGTTAAATAGTATTTGCTGTTATTTTAAATGACTTGTGCGTAATGTGCGATGAAGGTGATGATGCTGACTCCTCTGTCTGCACTGAGAGGGTGCCAGAGGCCTTTACAACACATGTAAATACTCCAAATAAAAGCTTGGAACTTGTGACCGTCGTCTGAAGCCTTTTTGATCACTGACCAAAAGTGGAAATATTTTCATTAACTATTATGAATCAAACAGTCTCTTATTTTTGCACCTTTTTTTATAAGTTTTGTCTCACCTTCTTTATTTTTCCTCATAGCAACAGGAATGCATTTTTGTTTGACAGCTGCACAGTTAATTACAAATACAATGCATGCCTTACTGTTTCATGGACATTAGTTGGTTTTAACAAGCTCTGAAACGTTTACAGTTGTGCTCTATGGGTGAAAAATTAGAAATGCTTTATGTCTAACTATGTTCAATATGCTGTAGCTCCATATTGTATTTTCAATCACACCAAACCCTTCATTAGGTGAATTTCAACAAATGTAATTTCAAATGGTGGTTGAAGTTTTTTGTGAATTTTATGGGTCTTCAATTTTGGAATCACAATTCAATTAAAACATTAGAAATACATTGAACCCAGGTCTCTCACACCAAAGCCATGTGTCTTATCACTTATCACTTACCATCAGAGCACACTCCATGAGAGGTGTCTCTTCCTCTGTGGTGTTGAACGATGGACGACATGGTCTTCTGGTACAGTCGTAGTGTGTGACCTCGTCCGCACCTGTACAGCTACAGGGCCCCCCATCCTATCCCCGGCCTAGTGAACGCGCCATACATAACATTTCAGTATGTAAGGCACAGCACTGAAAACATAGTTATGGATCTTATATTTCTGTCAATAGATCCTCAAAAATATTACACACTGGACTTTTAAAATGCATTACATCAGAGAAACAGCAATGGCTAATCAAACAAAATGTGGTAAGAGGGAGATGGTGTTTTCCATGAACTTGTGAACTTGTTAGGTGTGGTGATAAGGCCTACAAGGAAAGAATTATGAAAAATTCAAATAAATCTTTTTTGTGTAAATATATTTCTTAGACACATTTTTTCAACAAAATTGTTAACATATTTAGAACAGACTTTTATCTCAGAGTATCTACAAGCATAGGTTTGTAGCTTTGGGTATGGATGGTAGAGACATTACTTACTAATGTCAAAATGAATTGATCTTAAATGGTGGGCTGTTATGAAGTGTGACAAAGAGGGAAATGGTAGATTCCTGACCATATCATCTACTATGGATTGCTGGCTAACTGTACCGCTGGCAATAATAGATTTTGAGCAGTGATGAAAGAACATCAGTTTCAAGTGGTTATTCTTATGGTTTAAGCATTTTAAACATTGAATAATTAAAAATCCTCTTTGATTGTTTCACCTAAAATTTGATTTGGACATCAGGTCCAAATAAAAGGTTTGGTTTTTATTCAAAACCATAGTCTGAGTAACAGCTTCTCTGTAATCAATCCAAACATTTATCGTCTTTGAAAATAGTAACATGTGGGATTGTATGTAGGAGGAGCGAGACAGGACATATTAACCCATGTAATACAGAGTTTGGGAAGTCTGCTCCCGGGACCAGCTTGGATACACATGTATTTCATGTATTTATTTATTTGCTTGAAATTATCACTAAACTTTAGTTAATTTGGAATCTGCGTCTCATTGAAAAGAATACCATTTATATTGAAAGGACAACAGTTCATCTTAGTCTAAGGCTGTTTCTCAATACCGAGTTCGCCAAGTTCGGACTTCTGTACTTTAAAGTTCGTACTTGGCAAGTTCGGCTCGGGAGTATAAACTCCCAGGAACGGGAGCACGCAGTCCGTCATTCAGCAATTGGAACAGCAGCGGACTTGATGACCGCCGGGTTAGCGGGTGGAACCTCACATCTCCGAAAACGTCGTAGCAATTTTTAAAATCAGCTCTGTCTTGAGAAATCAACCACATATTTGGAGTTTAAACAACTAGATTCCCGCATAAAAAAACTCTTAAAACTACTATATGTGACACAAGAACAGCAGTATTATAAGTTACAGTTGGGAGTTTTCTTGTCCGACATTTCCGCTTTTTGGCAGAGAAATGCATTCTGGGATATCTGGCTATCCAAAGTCCACACAAGTCACCACCGATGCAGGCTAGGCAAAACGGGCGGAGCGAGAACACATCCGTGTATTTGACTGTACTTGGCTAGATGCAGACTTTTGAATTGGAACAGTACTTTGGCTGCGACTGATGGAGTTTCACAAGTCCACAAGAACACAAGTACAGACAAGAACGCAGATTGAGAAACAGCTTAAGTTACAGTAACATCCAAGAGAATGAAGTGTGAGAGTAAGGGCCCGTTAGGCCTCCGGACCGGTCTGAGGGTTTTTATTTCCCACAGTATCAGTACAATAAAATGTAAAATCTCTGTTTAAAATTGGAGAATAATTCATATGCTACAAATCTCGTTTTATGTAAGTTACACTGTATGAATTGAAGGTACAAAATGTTTTGCAGTCAAGCTATTCAAGTGTGTACAGAATATGTGTGTGTGTGCATGTATATTGAAGAAAAAAAAGAGCCAACAGAAATGTCTTTACTAAAGTTCAAAGCAAATGTATGCCCTTGATTGCAAGTTATCATTTCTGGGGCTATGTTCTATACAATAGCCATTTGTATATGTGACAAAAACTGTTAGATAGTGTTATCCAAGATTTTTCTCCCACAGCAATGCTTTTGAACTTGAGAACATCTGTTGCTCGCTCAGCCTCTTCACAGCCAGTGTGTGATTCATTCCACCTTCCATGACAGCTCGCTTCAGATAACCTAAATATGACAAAGATGTCACAGTCATGGTCTGACTACTGCAAGCTGTGTTGTACATTTAGTTCACTTGCATGCACTTGGTGCACTTTCATGCACCAGAAACCACTTGGTATGATGGATCAAAAGGGACATATCTGATCTTGTGAGGGCTTGAAATGTGACGGTACATCTTGAAATAATGTACTTTTAGGTGCAACAATTAGCTCCTCATGTATCCCTGTTTCTGAACATGCAGCTTATACACATGGTGGATGTTCTTTTAATCACAGTCCAGCAGGGACAATTTGTTCGGTATGGTTGGTTGAATCTGGAAAATTGTGTTTGGAAATAAGCCACAATAACAGCATAGATACTGCTTGAAGAACTCATCAACTAATTCTGCATAATCACCAAGGATAACCCTCTGGGATAACAAGCAATACTGTGTGATATAACAGGATGTGTGATATATACAGGTAGTGTTCTGACGGTCTCCTGAAATTCTTCTTAACATATCAGTTGTTCCCCTTTTTGCTGATTTTGCTTAATATTAGAATGATGTCATAACTTTAAACACGTGTGTGAGAGGGAAGTACTTTAAAAAGCTTATTTGTAGTCCTCCATCGACATATTGGCTTTCAGAGAGTTTTTCAAGCTGGAGGTAGGATCTCAACTTGTAACTCTGACACCTGTACGCAGTTAACAACTGAGTGTTAGTTCTTCTGACACAATTCTCAGAGAGCTTTTTAAAATCCTTCATCTGTCTTTCATCAGTCTTTTCCTTTTTCTCCGGCTGGTAGCTTTCCTGTTAAACCAAAACTGGGCTTCTAAGTCATGATCTGTAACAATTTGTTTATCTGTGCATCAGTGTGTAATGCTTCATCCAACATTGTTAATCCACCAGTTCAGTCAATGGTACATCTGGAGAAAGAAAATGAAAACAGTTCATCGGAGAATCAGCCACATTGCTGCTACCAACGATGTGGCTGTCAACGCAGTTTTACTTCAAGAGGTATCTAACCATGCATGCCTTTAGTAGTTTTTTTGTTGTATCAAAACCAGGCTCATGATTGGATGAAGACCACCCATGAGCTGTATCTTAAAATAAGTTAAACAAGTTCTCCCTGAAGACCCTCATGTTTCTGCAGGGCAATTCTTAGCAAGAATATCCAAAGGGTTGTCACACCAGATTATGTCCAAATAATTGTAAGCAGGTTTTTTGAGAATATTACACCAGAAAAAAATTTTAAATGTCACTGGAGCTGCTCACAGCTGAAGATAATTAAACAAATTGGTTTTATACAGTAATATATTAACATCTCACTTGAGAATGTTTTAAGCACATCCAGAATCTTGAATTTTAGTAGGCATTCGCAGATTTTTCCTATAAAGTCAGTGACATAGAAAAACACTAACTAGACAGAAGTCTGTGAAGATTCTCAGTCATCCAGGTCATGTTTATCCAAGGTGGGTTACAATCAAGGGCAACTGCAGTTGGTTGAAGATACGTACCTGAAGACGATTTGCCTCTCATCCAAGAGGCTTCTTCAGTTCTGGAGAAAATCCATTTTTAGTTTTCCCTCTTGGATGAGAGGTGAAACATTCCATTTAATTTTTTAGGAATAGCTAAAAGCCAAGAAAAAATGTAAATGTAAAAAAACAAATAAATGTTATTTCACACAGGAAACGAACGCTGGTCTCCTAGGTAAAAAGGCAGCTAACTTCTCAAATTTACCTGAAGGTGCCAAAACCTGCCTGCTAGTAACAATTAACATCAAGGATGCTACTCACTTGGATTGGACATGGATTAATTAAACTATGCATCTGTTGAGCCTCACAGTCTGGTAGAATAAAGATGGCCTTCTGATATCCTACAAGCCTGACCCCGGCCTACAAGACTGCCCATGCGGCCTGATTACACAAAGGAGGTCAGAGAACAATGGAAAGTCCAAATGGCCGTCACTTCACACCTACCTGCGAACTCTAACTTTTAAAACCAAACCAAAGGTTTGTATTGGCTAAAGCTTTCAGGGGGCGGAGTAATCCCAGGAAGTACAGCCATTTTGTCAATGGAGGTATAAAACCAAACACCTCCGAACCCTCATTGCCATTCCCAGTTCTCCAGAGGACTGTAAGGAGGTAAGCAAACTTTGCCTTTCTGCAACTGCATCAGCAGCCACAGGAGGTATTTCCTTTCAGCGCTGAACTTTCTTTGTTCCTGAATACAGTCATCACTCGCTGGACGAGCAACTCTGTTTTCTTCTTTCCTTTTTACCTCTATTATTTTTCTTGTTACCAACACAATTTTGGATCCCTAAGGAAACC